TTACAGTTCATAAAGTTTCTGTAAGATTTTTTTTTTGTTATTGACACAAGTCTCTCTTGGAAAAATCCCCACCAAGCTGCATTTATTTGATCAAAACAGTAACAGTAATAAAGCAGCAATATTCTGAAATATTATTATAATTTAAAACAACTGTTTAATATATTTAATATGTAATTTATTCCTGTAATGGCAAAGCTAAATTTTCAGCAGCCATTACTCCAGTCTTCAGTGTCACATGATCCTTCAGAAATCATTCTAAAATGATTTGGAAAAAAGAAACATTTAATATTATTTTTAATGTTGAAAATAGTGGTGCTAATTAATATTTATTGTGGAAACTGATTAATTTTTTCACTGATTCTTTGATCAAAAGAAATAAAAAAAGCGTTAATTTAAAATAGAAATCTGGCTTATAAATGCCATGTTTGTGTCTTTGGGATATACAATGGTATGATATGATAATGTGCAAGAGGTGCATGTTTTTCCAGACTTCTGTGTCTACAATGAGTGATAGAGGGGGAGAAGGGGGAGCTGTGATCCAAGTTGGCAGAGTGGAAACATCAAGGCCTGTGCTGGACATGATGATGCTTGCAATCTGCAAATCTCCTGCCCGTCTGGTATCTGACATGATGGGGACATGAAACACAAGCTGCTGAATTACCCATCAACATCTACCACCCCCATTTTAGCAAATTTCTGTCAGTTCTGGGCATACTAAACAAAATAGGCCCTCTGAACAATAAGGAATTATGAAATTTGATTTAGAGAGATCAAGAGAGATCTGAAGGACCTTGAGGAGATCATGTCCACACTGTAAAAAAAATCATAAAATGTACGGTAAAAAAACGGCAACTGTGGTTGCCGGAATTTTACAGTAAAAAATACGGTAGCAACATTTTAGGTTTTACGGTTTAAACTTAAATTTACAGTTAAATACCGTAATTTCATTAACTGATATAATGTTAATATACCAACCTATTGAAGTACTGAAATCTGTTTTGTACCTTTGTAATACACTGATAACCACCAAATGCAGGTGGTGATGAGAAAATCACATGATGAATCAAAGCCCATCACAAGCAGATTTTAAGTAATAACATATATAGAAGGTGCACAGTGTAATTCACACAAACACTAAACACCATCATGGTGATACACATGAAACTGAAATAATGCAATAAACATTCATTTAACAACATTAGGTGTAACACACAACCCTAATATACAAAACTGATAAGAAAAAAAAGTAAAACTTAATAAAAAGCCTATATAGACATAATAAAAAAACTAATAAAATGACAACATGACTACAACTGTAACTAAAACTAAAATAGATAACTAATACAATTTTTACATTCAATTCACCCATAAACTATGACCTTAGGCAGTGACCCATAATAACTTAATTCCCCTGTAAGCCATTTTATGTGAGTAGTAGTGAGGCATTTCCAGACCACCTTCATGTGTTTTTACAGACATTCACAGACAGGTCACAGACAAGAGGAAGTCATATTGAACATCTGGAAAACGTGTTGTGAAACTACTGTATAAGGCATTTAATTCCTTTTTATGTCTAAAAAACAAATCTAATGTCTCAAAAACTGACATTCAGACTGTGTAGGAACCAGATTTTTCATATTCCTGTTGGAAATTCTGCTTTGTCGCAACAGAAAGCAACACTGCTTTGTCGCAACACTGGTACGACCCTCCCTTCTCTCCAAGAACTGTACTCATCCAGAGTGGCTTTATTGTACATTGTCTATTTTTATATTATTCTTTTTATTATCTGTGTCCTGCCTTGTCACTGTCATTCTGTTGCACTGTGGAGCTTCTGTCACTAAAACAAATTTCTCGTATGTGTAAACATACCTGGCAATAAAGCTCATTCTGATTCTGATTCTGAAATTACCTTCATATTTGCAGAACAGGGATAGTAGAAAAAGCAAAGAATTCCACTTTATCTGAGGTTAACCACTCTTAAAGTAAATGGCTCAGATTTAATAAAGTCCAGGCCTATATGTGACCTTTTAAATCAGTTTGTTTTTTTATTTTTCATTATTACCGTACATTGGGTTCAACCGCAACTGAAACAAATATGCTGATGTTTGTGTTGGCCCCAGAATTACCTTTGAAAAGTTTCCGGTCGGTTTCGTGATTTCAGACATTTAAAACTCTGTAGCAAAGCTGCCAATAATTCAAAGCTGTCAATAATTTCCAGACAGTTGTCGATAGTGCAAGACTGTGTCCATGGCAACAAGCCTGAGACGAGAGAAGAGAGCATCTGGCATGTCAACAAGTCCAAGAGTGGTAAAAACATGGGATGGAGGGGATGGTTAGTAGTGTAAAAATGTCCTAGTGGCTATTCACACATAACTAATTTTTCCATTCCACTGCACTACTTTTGCATTGTTTTCCTGTAAGCACACACTAGATGGATGCATTTGACCGTTGCACTTATCGTTATAGTTGTGGTGTGTATTGTTATCATTATAGCTATAAAAATGTCTTGACTTTGCTTTTTTTGTCTCACATTTCAAAAAAAAAAAAAAAAGCATT